CATGGTGAGGAGTAACTATAAATAGTACATGACAGGGAGGTTTAAAATTAAAATGTGTAGCGAAAATATGATCTACAAGAGAATATTCAGTTTCTATCACTGACGAATGATTTTAATACTGCTTTCACGATAGGAACTACGAATAATAAACTATGGGAAAATTGGTCATAATTATGTGTGAAAAAAGAACTGAATGGCACAACGCACAGGGTAAAAAAAAAAACAAGTAAAATATTATACCCCATTGAAGCAGTAAAGCTCATAGACTGAAAGAACTCGGATCAACTTGCAGGATTTTCTATGAAAATTTACCCGCTTGGAAAAAAGTGTACAACTTTTCACCAAATAATTTGTAAAATATCCACAGTTTATAGCGAGAACATATATAAATACGCATAACCACAGACCCATATTCATATTCCCTAAAATGAGCACCGTTAATAGATAAACATTAATCACAGGATTGGACATATTATGCTTTAGAAATCACAAATTAAAATCATTTTAGGGTTGGGGGTAGTCAATCATGGCGCACGTGGGCGCCGAGCTGTCAGCCGTTGCGCCGCTGATTAGTTCAGGTGACGCAGCGCATTGCGCCCACGCCGTCCGTACAAACATGTCGTCGACACGGCCGAGGAAATAGTAAATTGCAGGAAATGAGGAAAATGAATTAATTGTCGGGATTGTTTGTGTTGTAATGGCAAGCCGCTTTATTATGATCATCGTTCCGGCAGTGACCCAATTATTGCGAAGAACGATGGTCTCTTTGATGGCAGACAAGTAAACTCAAAAGGAAATTACACGAAATGATCGTCATTTGCCCAGCAAGCAGTGAACGCAACATTAATTTTTTATAATCAGGATTAACTCCTGAAGCACTAAAAGTAGAAAACTAAAATTCCCTAAGACTGGAGACGAGGCATTTGTTCTGGAATGCCGATAAATTTATTTACGTTCTCCAATTCAGCTATAATTACTCAATAATTGAATTCATAAGACAAAGTCCAGAAAACCTGCGTCACTAGCTTGTGTGTAGGACGATTCTTTTAATGAAAGGAGAAAATTCCAACGAACTATGGTAAATCGTGAATGGCATATTCAACAATACGAACTGACTATAATCAAGCCACATCACATTTGATACAATTTCTACTCCAAATAAACTATTAAGTATATAGTAACCCACCGGAGCATTCACATGTCGTATGAGAGTGAAGGTTTCATTGGTACATTTCCGCTTATTGGCGCTTAATACTTTCAAATGATATAACTATAATATCTCTTTCACGGGCGTAATTACTTCAGCTGAGACAAATAAATAACTATCACTTAATCAAGGCCGGATCTTGCCAACACCTATCACCAAATTTCACAATGACGTTTACGCACTACGTTATGTTGCTGATAGAGTTTGGTCGTATATATACGACGCAAATAAACGTCGCTGAATAAAAAAAATAATAACCTTAATGCTTATGTTTTTAGCGCATTTTATCATCTATGGAAAAAATGTCCTATTGTGCTCGTCATGTCCGTCCGTCTGTCTGTTCGTCTGTCTGTCTGTCCGTCCGTGACTTCACGTTTTCGTCGACGAGAAAATGCGCTCTCTGTCACTCCCTGCAGTGAGTGAACTGAGTTATGTTTTTAGGCCTGGGTTGGGCAAGAGAGCTCACCGCCTTGCTTGCCATTAGCTTTCGTTCAGCGATAATTTGACAGAAAAATTCATCGAAGAAAAAACGCAGGCTATCAGCAGATGTTCTCCAGCGATGAATGGTTAGCGAGAATTGCGGGGACGTGCTTCTATTGCACGTGATAGCGAAATATCTAAAACCTCGCTACTTTTAGTATTGTTGCGTCATTGTGAACATTTTGCAGCACTATTCGCGCAGCATTGTGCAAAATTAGGACACAATGAGGGGGCGAAAGTAATGCAGAAAATGCGGACAAAGTAGCATACAATTCTCGGCTGAATGTTTGAAAAAATAAGAGACCTATTCTAAAGCAAGACATATATACTAACGAGACATATACTAACGCGAACCAAATTACTTATTCAAAATACATGAACATGTAAATAGATTTTTAATTCGGCATTTATCCCTATTTATCACTGGTAATTCTTTATCAGATATGAGTTCAATCAACCGCTTCGAAATCAGGCATCTTTTACGGAAGACGCTAATCCGTAATACATTCCCATTGCGTGAAGCGACTGCCGTGCTCGATAGAATCTTTCGGGAAAAACCCAGGCCGTATTGCCTGCCGGAATTTTTTATTTGATTTGTTTTTTTTTCGTTTATTTATACAGTAAGCTTATTGTCGTACCACCGCAATAATCCCGAGTCCCCACGCTTGTTCTGATATATTTGCTCGGTCTTCATCATGACTGTATTTTCGTCTCGACAACTCTTAAGCTGTCTCACGGTCGGCCTGGCTGTATAATTATTAACGACCGTTCTTCGGAATGGCTGTGATTGTTGTTGCATTTACTATTGACCGTACTCACAAACGGTAATTGTAGTGAGTTGTTTGAATGGTGTTATTAACGCCTCCATAGCCGCCACACGTCTCGGTGCTTCACGTTTTGCATCACTGCTGAGTTACGGCCGGCGCGGTCGTAGTGTTGATGTTGGCCATACAAATGTATCGCAAAATTTTGTACATTGCGTGTAGGCTGTTGCTAATCTTATACTGTATTCGTAGTTTTCTGAATTACTACGTTTCTCGCGGCAGTTTCGTTTTAGAACCGCCGGCACACGGCCGTGGCCTTCGCAGACGTCTTAAAAGAGCTTCAGACTGTGCTTGCGTGACAGGAGCCTCGGGCGAACCTCTTCGGCGCGAAATGTGGTTGCCTTTATATGCAGCCGCAGCGCTAAGTTTGGCCTAAACTCCTTCGTAGACGCCGCCTTCCTCGGCGACAAAATTGAAATGACCATAGCGACAAGTTCGGCGGTGTTTGATGTAAACGAACTCGATCTCACGGTCTCTAAACAAGCTCGTCGTCGTAATAACCCTCTACCTCCTACGTCACTCTCCGGGAATATAACTTTCAACTTAAATTATACGCGATTCTTGAGTGCTGCAACCTGAGGACGTTTGTACGCAAACAGAGAACATTTTAAAATTGTCGTATGTGGCGGCAACCATAGGTGCAAGTCATTTTGCGCTCACTAGATCGTATCATTTTTGGGAAGTAGGTTTGTGACAATATTGTCACAAGCCTACTCAGGTTACTTCTGTCAGGCGGTAGAGGGTAAACTCTCTACAACGCTTGATCTCAAAATTTTAAACGTCTTAACACCGCACTCGATTTGTAATGAGCTGAAATTTCCAGGCAAAATGTCTGATGAAAATTTGACTATGCATTGCCTACAGGAAAATTACCCAGTACCGTGAATGCTAGAACGCGTTCAGAATGCGGCAAGACCGCGCATGGAACGCCCAGGATATGGCGCAGGCAGCCTGGAATGCCGTGTCGTTCAGAGTATGTAGCAAAAAAAAAAAAAAACACCAGCAAACACGCCTGCAGGTGGTGCAATACTCTGACGTGATGTCACCCGACGAGCCCAACTCTCACCACAACTTCGAATCACTGTTCACAAAAACTCACAGGGCAAACGTTAACTTTCGTAAACAAATCGTCTTGAAGTCGCTTCACTGTTTCCTTTTGTTGCACGCATTGCCATGAATCGTTCAGTTGAATTGAGGTGTGAACTACGTATCAATTACTACAGCAAAATGAAGTAACACGAGATAATTTTTTTCTGATGCTGGTTTTCAATAATTTACAGCCACTTATGCTTAATCTAGGCGCTCATTGCGTTCTATATCAACTTGCACGTAATAATAAATTTTCACAACGCTTAGATAATGACTGAGCGAGGAGGTCGTTAATTAATGGACCGTCATTCGTCTTGAATGAACGCAACAAAAAGTTTAAATCGTGAGGCGGTACTTGGCGCCAGGGGCCTCTGGCATCACCTTTCTTAGAAGTCACTTACAAAAATGAGGGATTAGAAATAGAACCCAACCGTCCTTCATAACGGGTTGCAAGGATCCTACAAGGTTCTACTCCAGACCTATCCCGTATAAGGGCCGGGTAGGCGTGAGTTGGCCGAGGGTTGGTATTTACGAGGACTTAGATTTCCATGTACCAGCGGTGGAGATAACGAGTAGGTATTCGAGACGACATCATGCGGATCAAGTAATCAGAAATGTAAGGCATTGTGCCTAAAAAATTATTAGGCATAATGATGGATGGGATCTATACTGATTTAACGAATACTATCATCCTTGGAATAAATTCCCAGTTTCGGGGTCAAAATAAATTCATCGAGATGACGGACCTAATAAGAACGCGTGCAATAATTCCAAAATTTGACATAAATAAGTTCGCAGTTTAAAAATCGAACTAATCAAGACAGTTTAAATCCAACAAATTTTAGCCGCAATTTTGAATGGAGACAACACCAAAATATCAGAAAAATCATGTGAGTGGGGGACACTACTGACTTTCGTAATTCGCTGTAAGACCATGATGAACACGTATAAATAACCTTACGCAGTACGCACGAAAGCAGCAATGGTACGATAGCTAGTTTAAGCAACCATTGTAGTTGAGCAAAACATCAAGACATTGGACATGTGGACAGTTCCACCTAAATTTCGCAATTCCAGTTCAATGCACACAAGACAAAACTTATCGAACTGAACCATGTTCGTCGTAGTCACCTAGACTCTGCTCCAACCTGTGCCCAGTGTAGTCCAGCTAAGTTTGCATAAGTATAGTTAGGTTCGAGGCAGTGTTTTTGGCCATGCGTGTAGGAGTGGCTAGATGCATCAGAGTCCGAGTAAAGGGCACCGTGCATCACTTATGTGCGGAACAGGTTCCGCTGCCTCCTTCGCAGTGATTACTAATACCTTACCCTCATGCATCATCGATTTTCTATTGAATCAATTAGCCTACTCAAAATCATGGTTGCACTCATAAAAACATTTACCTGATTCCTCTTGTAGTTATGCTCAACTAAAGCAGCAAGATTCAGCAAGCAAATAAATAATCTGATTTCCTGTAATGCAGGTTGACCACTGCCCGCAGGAGACAAGACAGCAGCGCAAGCTTGGCAAAGACACACACTTCTTCCCAGCACGATGTCAGGCGCTCAACTGGAGGCACTCTGGGTCTGGAGTGGAGTCTGGACTCTGGAGACGGTGAGACCAAATTTCCGGCATACGCACGAGTTCAGCTGTCATGAACGGACTGGATGGTTTCTGCCATGGTTTCTGCATTTGCAAAACGTAATTTTATGCATGGTTGAAATTAATAAATTTATTAATTCAACCATGAGTTTATGCAACAGACTAAAAATATTTTTAAAGTTAGCACTAGAACTCTTAAATTCTTCCTTTGGAATTATTCATTATTAATTTTTAATACAATTGTATTTGTTACCTAGTATTTTCCCCTCGACTTTTTTAAGGATTTATTTTTTTTTCAGGAAACTATCTGTGCCTTTTGCACGCGAATAAATTTAATGTTATTCTATTACTCAAATAATTCCAATATTGAATAATCAACTGAGACGTATTCAATTAACAAAATTAGTTACGTCTATATTGAAATAACGCGCATGCAATGCCAGGGTATGTAACTGGGATTCTACTTCAAACGTCATACTCATCAACTGTTGAAATATTTATGATTGGCTTCCTGTGTATTGCATAATACCAAATCAACCACTCTCCCTATTGATAAGGAAGTATGTAAGTATTTTATTAACATGGGTAGATATATTTCAGAATAAGATTTCTTGAATCACGAAAGTTATCTTTCTATTCGTAGTTTAGTACTACCGTATCACTTGTTCATAGAACAGCAGACCTCTCACTAGTCAAAGCACGGGAGTAGAAAATGTTTTCAGAGCTAACTTATCATTACGATTGGAAACTAATTAAATTAAACGATACTTTTATTTTCCGCTCGGTCAGATATGAATCGTTTTCTTTGACCATAAGTTCCAAAAAAATTGTTTGACTAATGTTAATACAAAATACAAAGAGATATCGAACACAGAATTTCAAAATTTGATCGCACTTAAAACCTCATCTCCATACTCTAATCAATTGACCAAATCGTTACAATTATGTGCTGATTTGGTCTTTTAGCACAGCCTGCTTCTTTTCAAAGTGCTCATTACAAACTGACTTAAGTAATAATTATTTTACCTCGCAAACAAAATTAAATGAACCGCGATCAATTTAGGTTTATCTGACACAGCTGCGTCGAATTTTAATAATTTTTCAATTATTGCTTTAAGTTTTTGTCTACGATCCTGGCGTTCCATCTCAAGCATAAATTATATCATAAATTCATCGATGAACTAACATAAATAAATTTTTGTTATGAACTTTAATTGTGCACTTGCAGTACATTTTATAACACTTCTCGCTTTTCTGGTCAGAATCGGCAAGGAGGCCGGGCGGTTAAGGGGACCGACCGGGCTAAAATTTTCAATTTAGGCGTTTTTCGGTTTTTGTGCTCATCTGAAAGCTGCAATTCTGCTCTTTCCAATGGTACCACTGCCATCGCTGTACGCCAATATTTACGTTAATGACGTCTCTTTAAAGGGAAGCGGGTGGGAGAGTTCTTTAAGAAATTAGATNTCCCTTTGAGGAGCTGTCACAAAGTCATTTTTTGACGCACAGGGACGATACTTATATCGTTCGATGCGCAAGAAAACAACCTTTAAGATGAGATAAGAAACAGAAAAATTCAAAATTTTCAAATTTTAGCTAGGTCGGTCCCCTTAAGCACAGCAGAATTGTAGCAGTGAGTTGCGAGTTCGAGACCACAACAAGCTGTGAATGTTCTGCTATGTTAAGAATCGGCGACAGACCTACGGCCTAATAAACGCTGAAGCCGCTATTATTATTATTATTACTTAATATTCAAAATAAGATAAGGAATTAATTGTACATGTTTAACATCGGAGACATTGGCCTCCTTAGAAGTGTTGTCTTTAAAAAGTAATTTTTGAATGCATATTTTTGTCATATATTCATTCATCAGCATATTTTTCTTATATATTAATTTATCTTCACCTTCATCAATTTGAAACAAATGTTTGAACTGAATGAGTTTGAATAGTTTGCGAATTATTTATCTAATGAGATAAGTGAATGAATCAACTTTACGTTAAGATGAATCAAAGACATGTAAACACAGAATAACAGTAGTTTTGTAATTTTGAAGGGTTAATCGCAGAAGTGGCAGTGCTTAGTATGGCGTCAGTATCAAACCCAATGTTCAAACGTCTATAGTCGGACTCGTATCGTAGGTGATCGTACATTTTAGAATGTTTAGTGTACGTCCAGTACTCCAGTGGCGTATTTGGTAGTAGTGTGGTTCAATAAATATGGCTGTATGCGCTGCCAATGGTTGTACAAACAAACCTTGTAAAGATCTTGAATTTTTCGATTTCCCCGAGAATAAAGAACAGAGAGCAAGATGGATTTCTGCTCTGCAGAAACCTGATGGCTGGCAACCTTCGGTTACATCAAAGATCTGCTCAGTCCACTTTGTTACTAGTAAGGAACTGGAAATAAGAATTTATTGGTCATGAAGCAATATTTTGTATATTTATTTAAGAATTATGTTTCTTTGTTCAATAATTGACCAGGCATCATTGTTCATTGAAAGGTCATCATTTACAAAAATAATTCTAGCCTAATTCAATGTCAGCCATAGGCCTATATATCAAGGCAAGTTGGCATTTGCATTTGGCAACCAGAAGAGTAAAGAAAAAAGCACATAGGCCTTAGGTCCTACCTAACTTAAGAACTGGGCATTGGGCAACACTTAGGTACCAGTCATAATGACTGGTAAGTGTTGCCCAATCCGCAGTCAACACTCAGGCTGAGCCATTGGGTAAACCATAAACACGGTATATTCCAACATCGTGGGTAATTCCGACAACTCTCTAGTTTTTCCTTTTTATTAAGCTTTGTCTTAGTTCCAAGCATTCATTGATGGTTGAAAATTTGAAATAGTGACGTCATACCTTTGCGCACCAAACTATTGCCAAAACACTAGGTTTGGGCCGTCTGGCAGGAAAACGTTGAGATCCAAAGAGAGACAGTGCAATAAGTGCATGCCACCCAGTGAGATCATCGAAAAATGTGTCAAAGTTGATAGTTGACCTTGCTCTACCAAATAGTGATAAACTGTTTGTGTAGAAAGAATATTATGGTTTGAGACTTTTAAATACATCTGTAAATATATTAGGAATCCTTTAAGAATTAAGTATAGGGTAAACGCGGTATATTCCGACATCATGGGTAATTCCGACGCCTCTCTAGTTTTTCCTAAATTCCGACGCCTCTCTAGTTTTTCCTATATATTAAGCTTTGTTTTAGTTCCATGCGTTTGTTGATGGTTGAAATAGTGACGTCATACATTTGCGCGTCAAACTACTGCCAAAACACTAAGTCTGGGCCATCTAGCGGGAAAATGTTGAGATCCAAAGAGAGACGGTGCATGCCACCCAATGAGATCATCGAAAAATGTGTCAAAGTTGACAGTTGACCTTGCTCTACCAAATAGTGATAAACTGTTTGTGTAGAAAGAATATTATGGTTTGAGACTTTTAAATACATCTGTAAATATATTAGGAATCCTTTAAGTATACTTGTATTTGCTGATTTAAAGTGGTAAATAAATTAATAGATGATTAAGTTGAGAAATGGATTTAGACACATAAAAACTAATTCCGACACAACTTGAATTGGACACACACAGCTCGTCCAAGCTGTGTACAAAAATTAAAATTTTCTTAATTAAAAGCTTAATAACTGTTACTTAAAAGCCTAATTAAGTAGTGCTCAATATTCAATAGTGTTCTAATTCAAAGCCGTGTCGTATTCCAATACAGCTCACACAGCGATCGGAATTCGAACACGTGGATGTCGGAATTACGTATTAGTACAATTTGAAGCGCGGCCGAAATACGTCTCACCACGTGCCAAATATGACTAGTCACACACAGTGTTGGAATATAGGGATTTGGTAGGTTTGCATTCTAATGGCTTTTAAATAAATATGGCAACATTTTGTGACGTTTCATTGTTACTGGTGTGTCGTGCGGTGTTTTGAGAGTCACATAAAGCAAACAGAACTCAAGTAATGCATACAGTTTTTTTTATAGTTTTTCATTTCTTGATGCGTCCTTAATGTGTCAGAATATACCGCGTTTACCTACTTGTATTTGCTGATTTCAAGTAGTAAAAAAATTAATAGATTAAGTTAAGAGACGGTTTTAGACACATAAAAACTAATTCCGACACAGCTTGGAATTAGACACACACAGCTTGATCCAAGCTGTGTGCAAAAATTAAAATTTTCTTACTTAAAAGCTTAATAGCTCTTAATTAAAAGCCTAATTAAGTAGTGTTCAATATTCAATAGCGTTCTAATTCCAAGCTGTGTCGTATTCCAATACAGCTCACACAGTGATCGGAATTTGAACACAAGAGTGTCGGCATTACGAATTAGTAGAGTTTGAAGCGCGGCCGGAATTAGTCTCACAAAATGCCAAATTTAATCACACTGACTCACACACAGTGTTGGAATGTATGGATTTGGTAGGTTTGCATTCTAAAGGCTTTTAAATGAATATGGCAACATTTTGTGACGTTTCATTGTTGCTGGCACGCAGTGCAGTGTTTTGAGAGTGACGTAAAGCAAACAACACAAGTTGCGCATACAGTGTATTTTTTATAGCCATTATATTTGTTGCTCCGTCCTTAAAGTGTCGGAATATATAGTCAGATGGGGTAAGACAGGACCGAAAACACTAACAAGCCTGTAGCATCTATACCATGAATAACTAAAAAACCCTAAACCTATCACAAGGTGTGGTTATGCAATGGGCTTCTAAGCTACAACTCAGACATTTTGCATCTAACACAGTTTTCTGTACAGATTAAAAAAAGTGAGCTGGTTCCATCTTACCCCACTGGGGTAAGATGGGACCAGGCATGGGGTAGGACAGGACCAACTGGCAATTCTTATGTTACAAGGTTTTTTTAATAAAAATGCAAATCTGATATTCAATATTATCCATCTAGAAACACATTATTTGATTGATCAAACATATCATACTGTTTTGTGTTGCGGGAAGTCAACTCTAATATCAGTCACATTGAAGTTTTTGTCACGAGAAAACTTTGTTAAGCATAGTAATAGTGGGTTGGCTTTGGTTCATTGTAGAGCACTGCTAAATGCTTCATGTATATTCCATTAGTGTCATTGTCTGAAAAATTTATCAAATTGGTAATTAAACCAATGGATAATAACTTAAGTATCAGACATCATGTGTTTTCTTGCTAACAGCATTTGTGGTGCACTTCTTCAAACATAGCTCATGCCCTCTCACAGAGTTGTGATCCTAATTATTTTTCATGTTTCACACAATGATTTTTCCCCCAGCCAATCTTGCACATAGTTCTGCAGCTCACTAATGGGAAGAGACATCCCTATTTTCTATGTCCCTTTGATGCAATTTAAAATAGTGCACTAAATTTCTCTAATTAAAAAAGCTAACAAGTTATAATGAAGTTTGAGCAAAAGATAAAAATTTTTATCAAAATACTCCATGTACTACACAATAATATATTCATTTAAAAACTATTTTTGATAAACTGTAGGGTAATAGAGGACCATTTGTGGGGTAAGACAGGACCATTTGTGGGGTAAGACAGGACCATTTGTGGGGTAAGACAGGACCATTTGTGGGGTAAGATAGGACCACTTGTGTGGTAAAACACAATCATTTAGTGGTCCTGTCTTACCCCATGTCTGGTCCTTTTTTACCCCATTTTAGAATACATGTCATGCAGTGATGGTAGCAGGTAGGAATGCCTAGTATGTCTAAAAAGTTGCCTATTACTTGAGGTTACCTGCCTACATCCACAAACCTGGCCAAAAAATTGTTTGTCATTAGATAGAGCTTATTTCCCAAACAGGGTTAACTATTTTCTTATCCTTCTTTACATAGGTTTTCTTTAAAAATTAGCCAGAAATTCATTATTTGCAGAACAGGGTTGCCACAAACACTGTAGTGACAGGCAATGATTGCTCTAACATATTCTTTTGTCAAATTGAATTCAGTGCAATTAGAATGCACGCCATGGGCTGGTCCTTTCTCAACCCATGAAGGCTGCGATCCTGTCTTACCCCATTTGACTATACCACGTTTACCCTACTTTTTGAGCTGCCACTAAAGATTTCCTTCCATTTCTAGAGCTGTGAGTCTGTGAGATTGCCACTAGCACTAGATAAATTCTCAGTTATATTCTATCTAAGTTTTGTGGACAACTTATCAAAAATTGCATGATGGGGCTACAAAAGTGACAAGAGTGCAGAGTCAAGCATGGAATATATGATTATACATCTACTTCGTGTCTTGACTGAATTTTTTGAGCCGTGGTTTTATGGATTTGTGGGCCATGATTCCATTTATCCAGGCCATGAATTTCATATCTCGGCCATAAAAAGCCATTAACAAGCCACAAACTTGTTTACTAAGTCCTATGCACATGCAGGCATGGAATATATCTACTTGCCAAGCCTCAACTGTATTTTTGAGCCGTGGTTTTATGGATTTGCCAGCTGTGATTCCATTTCTTTGAGCCGTGATTCCATTTTTTTGTGCTGTGAATTCCATATCTTGGTCATGAAAAGCCATTTACGAGGCTCAAATTTATTTACAAAGTCCATGCATGTGCTACCCCAAATCTCCAGTTTTATGCTAAAACAGTCAAATGGAAACAATAATATTTCAATTTGTCTTTAATGTAAGCTGCACATGTGTTAATGCAGTCTGAGTGTCTGACTGCTCTGACATGACCACAACTATGTGCAATCTTCAATGAAACATTTAAGTTGTCTTGTTAACATTACAATGATTATGATCTGTAGGATATTTTGGCTGGAATGGTAAAGTAATGCAGATTTTGGAAGTTGAAAATTTTATGAAATGATATGTTTGCAAAGTGCAAACTGTGATTTTTTCAATCAATCAAAAATTTGACATTCAAGCCATGAGATTTTATACCTACTGAAATTATATGATATTAGACCAGAGACCTGCTATATTTTGGGAAAAATAGGACTTTTCCAGTCCTGTGCACATGTTACCCCCAAATCACTAAGTTTACCCCAAAAATAGACAAACAGCAACAATAACATTTGTCTTAATTTAGTGGCAACTGAACATGTGATAGTGCAGTCTGATTGCTCTGACATGACTGCAACTATGCAATCTTCAACAAAACGTTTTGGGTTGACTCATTAACATTACATTCTGCAGGATATTTTGGCTGGAGCATTGGAGTACCTACTACGGATTGTGGAAGTTGAAATTTTATGAAATCATTGAAATGACACTTTTGCAAAGTGCAAACCATGATTTTTTCAATCCAACAAAAATACGTGACATTAGAGCTGCAAGATTTCATACCCACTGAAATTATATGATATTAAGCCCTGATACTTCAGAAAAAAAGTAAGACTTCCTGACCTGTGCAGA